ATCATTCGACTGATCTAGAAGTTCTCTCATACTATACTATACATACTTATATATATATATATATATATATATATATATATATATATATATATATATATATACATACATGCTTATATATATATATATATATATATATATATATATATATATAATTATTTATTTAAAATATGATTCCAACGCTACATATAAGAGTTCTCATGTTTCAAAAAAGGAGCCGAAAAGTTCAATATAATTATTTGAATTAAATTGAATTAAAGTACCAAGCTCTGTCCCATCTTCAAGCGAAATTTTTTTTGAAATAACTAATTCCTGAAATTTACGCGTTTTATAAGCATATTCATTATTGAAATTAAAAGTACTATGGTAACGGCTAGAGCAATTGTTTAAAGAAAAGCGGCGTAAGGGTTAATAATTTGTATCAATATCTCAGTTACATTCAAAGAAATCAAGTCGGGGTAAGGTTGGGGTGTCTAAATTTAAAGCGGAAGATGACATCGTCTCGTCTGGTTAAGTGTCTATGGAGATTTATTTATTTTTTTATTTTTTTTTTTATTTTTTTCTGAAAGGGTTTTGTGTATATAAAAACAAACTGTCATAAGTCGCTAATATTTGTTTTTTGACGACTTTATAAAGGCTTATCTCTTTTTTTTTGTAGGGCATTTAAACTATTTATTTAGACTATGGAATTTAAAAATTATTTTATTGTTTGTTTGTTTTTATGCTAATTATTCACTACGAAAATTTGATGATGTCGGCAAAAAACCGTTAACTCATGTCTATTGTTTAATAGATTTTTATTATTTAAAAACTTAATAATGTGTAGTTTTTCATGTAGGCATAAAGTCATCCCAAGTTTTACAAGTTCTAGTTTTGTTTATAATTTTCCATTTTACTTTTGGTGTTTTATGCATTTAAGTAAAGAAAAATCCTTAAAACTCCATTTTGGTTATAATTTATTTAATGGGAAATGGAAAATGGAAAAAGAAAAATATATAATAAAAGAGGAAGGAAGAAAAAGAATTTTTTTTTTTAAATTTAAAAATAAATAGGGAACAAAGAAAGAGAGAGGCTAGAGAGAGGGGAGATAGAGAGGAAAGGAAAGAAAAGAAAGGAAAGAAGGAAGAATTAAAGATGAACCAATAGGTTGACCTAGAAGAAATTTTTTCCTTAAAGGGCTGAACAAATTAATATACTGGCTAATGGAGTGGTTGATCAGAATTAAAAATTACAGTAATATGTCTAATAGTCATGTCATTTCAGATAGGAAAACTCATCATCGCATTATAATAATCACCACAATTTCATATTCATAATAATAATAATAATAATAATAATAATAATAATAATAATAATAATAACAATATCAAACATCAATAAAATAAAATTAAGTAAATTAAAAAAAAATTAAATAATATAAAAAATACATTAAATAAATCAAGAGAAAAATAAAGAACAAATTTAAAGAACAAATTAAAAAATAGATAAGGATAAAAATAATAAAGATAATACTGTCATTGATATTAAAAATAATATTAATTAATAATTTAAAATAATAAATGATGCAGTTATGACAATCACATAAACGACCATATACACATACATGTTAGTACCCATATAATGGGTACTAACATGTATGTGTACGTGTCGCCCCATCCCATACTCAGTTTATTAACCTTCTCTCTCTTTCTCTCTCTCACTCTTTCCTAAATTAAAAAAAAATTATATTGATTTTTTTTTCTTTCTTCCTTTTTTACTATAAAAAATTCCTTTTTCTGTCTTTTTTCCTCACCCTCTTCCTTTTCTCTGGACAAATTGATTTCATTTCTAAAAAAGACTTCGGTTAAAATATTCATGAAATAAATTATAACCGAAATGTATCTTTATGATTTTCTTTTTAATAATATATATATATATATATATATATATATATATATATATATATATATATATATATATATATATATATTCTGAGCTCATGAATATAATGACGACTACAATGAAAGATCCGAACAGCACATTACTTACTAAGCATATATGGGAATGTTGTTTTTTTTAATATGCCAAATATTTCTAGGAAAATAAGAAATACAGATTCAGCCTAGAACAATAAATTTAAAAGAACTGTAAACTCTGTCTGGAGAGGAAACTAGCTATACTCATCTTCCCAGATCAACACAAATTACTAAATAAGTGACCAGAACATATCTCAAAATGCAGACACGAAAATGAATTTTTACTACGTTACTTAAAATAAATTGATCAAATAGGAAAATCGAAAGCAGGCATTCGTTTTCTCACCAGACATTTAACTATACAGTGAGACGTACCCCGGATAATCAGACGACCTACCAGGATTTATTATTGGAGGGCATGATCTTAAGTATATATTCCGCTTATACTGGTGCTGGAAACTGATTCAGAAGGAAATGAATTATAAGAAAAATTGATATAGGAAATTAATTATTAATTATCAACTGTAAGAAGAATGGTCGTCAACAAGAGAGACAAGAGTCGTTAGAAACAAATAATTACTGAAAATAAATCTATCTGTGTCTTATAGTAACAGACGGCAAGAAATGTGACACAGGAATTCAAAGTCATCGTGAAATATGAAAAGTATTCCAGAAAATAGATTAAGATATCAGAAAATGTTGCTATAAATAAAACATTCTGAGCTACCAGAGAATGGTGAGTAATTTTTTCACAAATGAAGAAGAGATTTGATCCGACAAAGAGTTAGTTCTACAGATGGATACTGAGCATACCATGGATTAAAAATAAGAACAACGAGGAATATTTTGGAAATTAGAATGAAAAAGACACTTATAATGAAGAAGAGACAGTTGAAATATCTCGATCACTTAATGAGGAAATTGTTTTACGGAATTTAGTGCAAGTAGGATAATATTGAAGACAAGAGGTGTAGAAGAAAACATCATGTGAGCTACCTGGTGGGTGTCTGGCGGAACGAGAACAAAAGAGATGGCAAAAATCAAATAATATGGTTTAGAGCTAAAAGGGATATGTAGTTGCGGAGAGCCACGTTCCTGAGACACACTGTCACATAAAAGAAATGTATGTAGATTATCGAAGAGATGTGCACTATCTTTTACGTATGCCAAGTTTGTTTTTTCTTTTAATTTTATAAGGAAACAAAACACGTTTCCGAGTATAAAATATTTTAGAAAAGAATATAGTTTCTTATTGTTTTACTACAGTATGAAACTGGTCGGTTGAAGCTTAAAATGTGCAACAAGAAACTGAGAATGAATTTGTAATTGTAACTTGCGACATTATATAGACTGAGAGTCACGTAAATAATAACGACGAAAATGCTTCTTAAAGATTGATGTAAAAAGATCAGAATGAGAAATTCCAAACACTTGTTTATCTAGAATAAAATGGCAAGGATATTTTGAAAAAGAAGTCGATATGGAAATATAAATTAATAGATGAAAAGTACAATGAAAGGATTTCAAAAGAGTCATGAAAATGATGTGTGTGAACGGTAGAACAAAGTGTTAATAAATTAAAAAAGCAGTGAAGCAATATAGTACATATGAAAAATCAAATATATATATATATATATATATATATATATATATATATGTATGTGTGTGTGTGCGCGCGCGTGTGCGTGTGTGTGTGTGTATAAGAAGTTTTGTACTGCAAAGTGCAAAGGCTCTTTTCTGTAGATGTGATTTAAGATAAAAATCAATAGATCAAGGTTTCTGATGTACATTATAAAAAGAGAAATAAACGTACTAAGAAATGAAAGAAGAGAAATAATGAAGAACAAATAAACTGCACCCATGAAACCGGCAAACATTTAAGGAAAAATCGAATACAAATTGAAGAAAAAAGATAATAGTGGACATTACGGAAAATAAAGAACGAACGAAATAAATGTATAAGTAAAAATTTGCAAATGAAAAACTAAAACATCAGAAAACAAATTGATACGTGGCAGATAAATGAAACACTTACGATAAGTGATGCACACAATTTTAATAAGAATGCAAAAACTTTGCCTCAGAATTGGGCGATCAATGTTTCATGCATGGACGGGCCAAAGGATAAAATGGCTCAGATCTTTAGAGGCCACAATCCGAGAATAGCTTGTCTTTCCGACCGAACGGCTGCCGAAATATTTATTATTCAACAAGAGAGCATCGTAATTGGCTAGTTGGTTAATTAAAGCTGGACTTTTACAGTAAGCAGACGACGTCAACACGCTAAGGCAGCGAAGGAATCGTATAAAGCGAAAAGCAAAAAAGGAAAGTGAATACAGACAGAGAAAAAAGCCAGTGAAGAGAATGAAATGAAAAACACATAATCGTCTCTTGTACTAATGAGTAAGAACTAAGAAGGGAAAACTAGGAAAGTGGTTCATCACTAAATCAATAATATGTTCACCAAGTGTGTAAAAAAATCTAATAACTCAAAATAAAGACTATAATCCTACCGTGCAATATTAAATAGTAATGCTTTACAGAGTAGATAACCCTTTGAAAGGTATTGTCATAATAATGCAATATTTTGAAGAAAATAATTTACTTGAAATATAGACCAATACGTGTTTTATAATATAGGCCAAACGTAAATAGTAAGCGATACAATATAATTTTCTAAAAACACTTGGAGAGCAATTACAAATCGAAACTATCGATGGAAATATCATTCAACTCAAAGCAAGGCTTTCGCAGGAATAATTTACTGGCTTTATTTCTGCCGCTATATTATTGATTTTTTTTTCGTACTGTTTATTGCAGGTTATTTAAAGCAAGGATATATATTTTTAGATTGTGAGAATTTTTCTGTAGTTTAGCGATATAAGTCTTACTAATTCAGCCATAGCTGGGGGAGATGTTAATTCATACCTTTTCCAAGGGTATCTGCCTATACAGTAATAAAACGAAACCGACTGGAATTTGAACTCGGCTCACCGATTAAACATTTGGGGCCATTATTCATCACACCACATATCCTGCATATCCAAGCTTACAGTACCTGGTATTCCCAAGCGCTCTCTCATCGAGGTACTGACCAGAGTCAATGTTTCTTAACTTCGGTGATTGTACGGTAACTGGTGTTTCAATGTAATGTGGCCGTAAATCTCTGCCTTATATGATTGAGAACAAATCAACAGAAAACCATTCAGTGGCTCAAGGGTATTACTACAGTAACTTTTTTTTTAATTTGTAAATAATAATGAATAATATATATCTATCTATCTCTCTATCTATCTGTTGGAAAGTTAATTTATGTCCAGGTACAACCACTTCTCTGACTTTATTGATGATTTCCCTGCCGTTGCTGATTCATTAGTCCACGACTGACCTTCATTTTAAGTCACGGGTTTTGCAAGCAACATTGCTACATTGGTTTCACGGTGCGGACATTTTTAATGCCGGGCAAGTACTCTCGCTCACCTGTTCGGTTTGGTAGAGAGAATGCAAATGAAATAAGGCTGGCATCATCGTGATAAAATGTGTTGCTCTTGTAGTGTTATGAGAAATTAATCAAGAAGTATTTGAAAGAGACACTCGCCAATGTTTTAAACAAATATTTGTAGTACCTTTTCCTGGGTGGAGCCGTACGTTCTCCATGTGGGCTTAAGGAAGTGGATGACAGAACAGGGCCTGGGAGAAGTAGCAAAGAGACAAAACTTATTGAGAGCTACATGGGATTGGGGGAAGTGGAGAGCCATGATGGCCTACGTCCTGAAGGGGCATGACACATAAAAATTGTCCTGTCGTTCTTAAAATCATTAATACCAGTCGTCAGCAAGAAGGTCACAGTTGTCAACATAGAACAGGTCACAAATCAGAGACGTTAAAATTTTAGAACCAGTTGTTTGTAACGGATATAAATAAACGACATCGCTTTCAGCAAAAGCACAGAGTAGAATTGTGAAAGTGTGGGTGCTATGAGATCTCCCTACTTCACACTGAATTTCTCTGGGCAGCCTAGTTTCAGGAGTATTCTCCATAGACCTTGCATATTGACTATTTCAAAAGCTTGTTCGAGATCGATAAAATAGTGGTAATGATCAAGTTGTTGTTTTCTGCATTTCTCCTAAACTTACCTGTTTGTAAAGATCATATCAGTGATAATTTGGACGAAGCCCACACAAAGAGGCAGTAGATTCGGGACCATGTACTTCAATAGTCGATTAAGAAATATTCTTGCGAATATTTTCACAACAACTGATAAATTCGATATCCCACGGAAGTTATCATAAATATCCTTTGCACTCCTCTTAAAAAAAAAGACTGGAATTGACTTTTAATGAGAATTTAACTACCGTCCGCACTCTTTGGATACTGAAAAAAAAGATATCAATAATTATTACGCAAGGTGATTGAAAAGTAAGTCTGATTTTTAAAATACTTATAATTTATTTATTAACTGAAATGAATATGAGAGGAAAGCGTTTACCATGAGGTTTTATTTAAAATTCGATATAGGCACCAGAGTTTTCTACCAGCTTCTCGAGCCGCCCAGAAATCGCGTCAACTGATTTCACCAGAAACTCTTGTGGTATGGTAGACATAACTTCATGTATTCGCCCTTCTTCCAAAGTCATGGATTTGTATAGTAAACTTGCTCCTTTAACCAACACAAAAGAAAAAAGTCACAAGTTGTTAAGTCAGAACTATTGGCTGACCACTCATTTCTATCGCCCGGTACGTATTTATTTGCAATATGATAAATATTCTTCGACTTGCTCAATGATATTTCTGACCATCAACAGCTTACTAACAATATATGGATTATGCACAGATATTAGGGGCTGAAATTGCATAATTATCAACATTTATAAGTAATTCCTGAAAATCTTACCAATTTCGAGAGGTTAATAACAAATTTATTATGAAAAAATAACTTGCATAATAATATCTGACGCAGGATACAAGCACACACGCGAACAAACACATACATACACGCGCGCGCGCACACATACATACACGCGTGCACATAGATAGATAGATAGATAGATAGATAGATAGATAGATAGATAGATAGATAGATAGATAGATAGATTGGAGTAAAGGATGACAGATAAATAAGTGCAGAATAAAACGAAGATAATATTTTTTTATATTATCTTCGTTTGAAGATTGAGAAAGATAGAATGAATAGAAATCATCAACTGAAGCAAAGAGCCTTTCAAATATTTCGTTAAAAGTCGTCATTTACCTAATTGCCCTCAACATCGAAGAATTCGTATTTCACGAGCGGTTTCTTCGCACGACATTGGTGGATGTTAATTTGTACTCTTCTCTTCTATTCTGCTCATAACTTTATGGTTCGTTTCAACCGATATTTCAGGACATTTCTCTTTAGCCGGCTCTAAATATCTATATTTCCTCTGCAGACAGCTGAAAGGTTGTGCGTAACAAATAAAAAAGAAGAGTGAGACACTACAGAGTACGAAACGTAAAACAACCTTAGCATCGGTAGTTGTTGAATAAATAAATTAAGGCTGTGTTAAATGAACAAGTAGATTTACTGTAGGACAATGTTCGATTTTGCTTAGTATTTTTATCTTTGGTTTTGCGTCTCGTTTGTTTGCTTTTCATTTTATGTCATTTTATTTCTTTTTATAGTTGCGCTATTTTGTTTGTTTGTTTTTGTTTTTTTTCGCTCTTGTTTATTCCTATTTCGTAATGGTTTATTTCCTCGGTTCTTTAATTACTTCTGCTGCCAAGAATCGGTTTCCTTTATTGCTTAAAGTCTTGTGAGCTAAATAGCCCCACTTAAACGTCTTAATTATGATAATTTCAACAATTTTCTGAATTTCTCTCACTACAAATAATTCTCTAACATCAAATTAACATTGCGTGTATATTTTTTTTCAGTTTACTCTTCTGTTTCTATCTACTACAATAATTACGAATGTTTAAATTGATATCAGATAAGAACAAATTCATTTAATCTTCTTATATATATATATATATATATATATATATATATATATATATATATATATATATATATGTATGTATGTATTTATGTGTGTGTGTGATTATGATCAAAGCGGAGATTCTGTAACAACTCCAGTGTTAATAAACCTCACATAATTCCCTATTCATAGAATATTTGAATTCTCATCAGTAGAAGGACACTTTTCGCTTATTATCATTCATGCAACGGATACTTTATTCAATTGTCCTTTATATTTAGCATAAAAGAACCTGCTATGATATTTCAGTTACCACTCGATTTCAACACATTATGAATCAACTTCATTTTTCACAACCAACATTTTCATTTCTTTTGTGCAGTTTGTTTGCACGAAATAAATGTATGAAGATATTCCATAATTCTTAGGTTGTGTCATAAAAATATGGTAGGTAAGGTGTAGAACAGACTAAGTTCTAAACTTATTCCTATTGTTCGTGCTTGTGTTATCATAAAGTTGATCAACATTTTTTTTCTATTGATGACCGCGGTCACAAACAAACCTTTATAGAAATGTTACAGCTTCTGGACGTATAAATCTCTATTTAGTGTTTCAATACTTTTAAGAACTCTAAATGAATAGTACCCCAAAGATTCCACCACACGCACAACATTTTCCTTTCTTCCACGGGGCTTAGCTTTTGCGATCGTTCAGATTTATCCTTGTCAATCCACTGACTTCGCATTGAATATTGTCGTATGCAACCTATTTTCCTCATCAGTTATGATATATTTAAGGAACGGTTATTTACGATGCGATACTCGTTTTTACAACTGGTTATATTTGTATATAAATTTCTATGTAAAAAATTTCATTTTTCTCGTGCTTTTTGCTGAAATTGAAACCAAATTATATGACATGAACCAATTCCCTACTTTGATTAAAGCTCAAGATTCCAAATTATTATTCTGATGAGAAGTTCCCATTGCATCCTTAAAATTGAGACTTTCAATCAATTTGCAATTAATTTGTAGTTGGTACTTCTTTTTATTCATAAAATTTGTAATGCAAATGTTATGAAGATGGAATAGTTAACTCTAAATACAAATATTTATGAGTTACTCAAAGATTCAATCTGAAAGGCGACAGTAAGTTGTCTGCGTTGCATTTTCTTCTAATCTTCTTTGTGTCAAACTATAATTAGCACTTGCACAGTTGGCACTTGGGTAACACTGTCAAAAATAAATCAAATATTAATCCATTACATGACAGAATATTTAAATATTTTACTATATTTATAATTTGTAATCTGATAAAATTGCTCTAAAACTGAACTCCTAATAAATTAAACTAAATGAAACGATACAAAAAGAGGGAAATCAAATTGGCTGATTCGATAATGCTGATATTATATTTGTCTGGAATCTAATTCCCAGATCCAAAGTACCAATCAAATGTTTTAACAATATATTTGTCTGCGATTCCAGTATCTATTATTTAATATAGGCATTTCATTACTTTTCATTTTTAGATTTTTATCTTCTGTGTATATCTATGTTATATTGTGTGTCATGTAGTAGAACAGATGAAAGTCATTTGAATAGGTATTTTATTATTTACTACCTTATAATCAGCGAAGCGTTATAAAATATAGGTTATCACTAACATCATAGCAATCAAGAAAATATATCCAATGTGTACACTTAGGTACTAAATATAAGATGTAGGTTTTAATAATTAGGGTGGTCAGAAATTTTCTAAATAAGCGATAAATAAGATCTTAATAGAAGGAGGCTCGAAAAACCGATTAAATGTTCAAAAATGTGAAATCATTAAAAGGGGTTTAATAATTTCTCCAAAAATAAAAGCACTCTCTTCTGTTAGCTATATAAGAGAACATGGCATTCATCTGATATCAATCATAATCAATAGGGTCCATCTTTCATAAACACCCCTTATAAATACACTAGCTACACAAAAATTTAAAAATGTATTATCAAAAAATATATAAATTGTTAACAGTTAAACAATGAAATGATTATTTCATGTCTACAGAAAGTGGGTGAAAGGAGGATTAGTGTAGATTTGCCATCGAAACACATCCTAGCGTGGATAAAGGAAATAGTTGTAAACAAGCTTAAAATCCACAGCTGGAAACTGAGCACATTTTCCACCTTTCATTTATTATAGCAGCTAAAACACTG